GGACACTTTCCCCCCCTTTCCAGTTTGGACACTTTCCCCCCCTTCCAGTCCTGGCACTTTCACCCCCTTCCAGTCCGGACACTTTCCCCCCCCCCCCCTTCCAGTCCGGACACTTTCCCCCCTTCCAGTCCGGACACTTTCCCCCCCTTCCAGTCCTGGCACTTTCACCCCCCTTCCAGTCCGGACACTTCCCCCCCCCCCTTCCAGTCCGGACACTTTCACTCCCTTCCAGTCCGGACACTTTCACCCCCCTTCCAGTCCGGACACTTTCACCCCCTTCCAGTCCGGACACTTCCCCCCTTCCAGTCCGGACACTTTCCCCCCCCTTCCAGTCCTGGCACTTTCACCCCCTTCCAGTCCGGACACTTTCACCCCCTTCCAGTCCGGACACTTTTTCACCCCCTTCCAGTCCGGACACCCCCCCCCCCCCCCCCCCCCCCCCCCCCTCCAGTCCCGGACACTTTCACCCCCTTCCAGTCCGGACACACTTTCCCTTCCCCCTTCCAGTCCCGATCCACTTTCACCCCCCTTCCAGTCCGGACACTCCCCCCCCCCCCCCCCCCCCCCCCTCCAGTCCGGACACTTTCACCCCCTTCCAGTCCAGACACTTTCACCCCCTTCCAGTCCGGACACTTTCACCCCCTTCCCAGTCCGGACACTTTCACCCCCTTCCAGTCGCCGCACACTTTTCCCCCCCTTCCAGTCCGGACCACTTTCCCCCCCTTTCTGCCCAGACCAATTTTCAACTTTCAGCGCTCTCGCCGCTTTGAATGACAATTGCGCGGTCATGCAACACTGTACCCATATGAATTTTTTTATCATTTTTTTTCACACACATAGAGCTATCTTTTGGGTGGTATTTAATCACTGCTGGGGGGGTTTATTTTTTTGACTATAAACAAAAAAAAGCAAACAATTTGAAAAAAAAGTTTTTCTTTGTTTCTATTATAAATTTGCAAACAGGTAAATTTTCTCCTTCACTGATATGCGTTTATCAGGCTGCACTGATACGCAGCACTGATGGGCACTGATGAGGTGGTACAGGTAGGCAGCACTGATGGGCATTGTTAGGCTGCACTGATGAGGTGGCACTAATGAGGCGACACTAGTGGGCATTGATGAGGAGGCACTGATGATGCTGCTCTGATATGCAGCAATTATGGGCACTAATAGATGACACTGATGAGCGACACTGATGGGCGACACAGATGGGCACTGATAGATGGCACTGATGGGCAACACTGATGGTGTGGCGCTGACTGGCAGCACTGCTGGGCACTGATGAGTTCAAATGTTGGGCGAACTGCTGGGTAGCACTGATGGGTGGCACTGCTGGGCACTGATGATCCGGGCACTGATCATCAGTGCTGATCTGCTCTGTGACAGTTGCCGGTTATCGATAACCGGCAACTGCATTTACCGGTGATCTGCTGTGTCATTGGATATGGCTGATCATGTGGTAAAAGGCCGCTGTGATTGACCTTTTACCCTCATCATGTAATCAACTGTGTCCGTAGGACACATCATTCATGGAGATCACCGGGTGCGTGCGCGCCGCTGGGGGGAGCGCGGGAGCATGCGTTTGGGGAGGAAGTCATATGACACCCTCCCAAAACTGGACAACCGCGCTGTAGCCGTCATTCAGCTATAGCGCGGTTGGCAAGTGGTTAAAGGAGTCCACTATTTCAATCTGCACAACTTCAGGTGGTATGGAATGTGTAAGGGTGTCCAGCGGGAGAAGGGTGGTTATCCCAGTTTATTGAGAAGTCGGAGAAGTAGCCAAATTCTGTGATCAGTGTCATTTAGGCTTGTTTAACGAGGAGAATGTATCCTCCAAAAACAAAAGGGTGTCATTGGAATATAACGCTACTTTCTCTATCTGTTTTCTCCTCTACAAAAACCCACAACATCTGGATGCTCTCTAATGGCCGCCCCCAGGGGCTCTATCACCAAGACGAATAATAGCGGGGAGAGAGGACAACCTTGCCGTGTCCCCTCTTCCTAATGTGAATGAGGAGGATAGGGCATTATTAACCAGAATACGGGCCAAAGGGGCATGATATAATCATTGAAGTCATGAGATGAAAGTGTCCCCTAGGTTAAATTTCACAAGGACTTGCCACAGGTACCTCCATTCTATACTGCCAAATGCTTTAGCAGCATCAAGAGACAAAATCCCCTGTCAACCAAATTGTCAGAAGGGATTTGAAGGTTAAGATAAAGCCTGCGAATATTGATTGCTGTAGATCTGTTGGGAATGAAACCCAATTGATCTGGATGAATAAGCGTAGAGATAACCTTGGTTAGTCTGGTCAACAGTACTTTAGTATTGATTTTGAGATCTGAGGTCAATAATCAGGCCCGGACTGGCCATAGGGAACACTGGGCATTTGCCCAGTGGGCCAGGGCCACCTGGATAGGAGAGGTGGCCCCCAGCAGCACATAGAGGACCGGGTATTTCTTGGTTCCTCTAACCCAGCCGCCTCTCCTATCAATCTCATGAATGCATTCGGCTCCTGTATGCTGCCCCGCGGTCGCCCCATCTCCCTCATCTCCTCCAGTGGCCCCCTCCTTCATCTCCTACAGTGGCTCCGCCTCATCTCCTCCAGTGGCCCTCTCCCTCATCTCCAGCGGCCCCCCTCCTTCATCTCCTCCAGCGCCCCCCCCCCCATCTCCTCCAGAGGACCCCTCCTTCATCTCCTCCAGCATCCCTCTCCTCATCTCCAGTGCCCTCCTCCTTCATCTCCTGCAGAGTCCCCCTCCATCATCTCCTCCAGAGGCCCCCTCCCTCATCTCCTCCAGTGGCCCCCTCCCCTCATTCTCCAGTGGCCCCTCCCTCATCTCCTCCAGCACCCCCCCTCATCTCTTCTCCTCCAGAGCCCCTCCCCTCATCTCCTCCAGCACCCTCCTCCTTCATCTACTCCAGCGGCCCCCCCCCACTCATCTCCTCCAGCACCCCCCCATCTCATGTTTTTCTTTCTTTTTTCTTTCTTTCTTTCTTTCTCTCTCTCACTGTCTCCTGTTTCTCTCCTTTCTTCCTCTCTCTCCATCCTGTTTATCTCCTTTCATTCCTTCTTTCTCTTTGTCTCCCGTTTCTCTCATTTTTCTCTCTCTCTCTTTAGTTGCTTTTTTTATAGTTCTCTCTTTCTTTCTCTCTTTTGCTGTCTCCTGTTTCTTTCTCTCTCCTTTCATTCTTTCTTTCTCTCTGTCTCCCGTTTCTCTCATTTTTATCTTTTCTTTCTCTTTCTTTTTTATAGTTTCTCTCTTTCTTTCTCTCTCTCTCCCCCTCGCTGTCTCCTTTTCTCTCTTTCTTTTTCTTTTTTTTCTTTTCTTTCTTTCTTTCTTTCTTTCTTTCTTTCTTTCTTTCTTTCTTTCTTTCTTTCTTTCTTTCTTTCTTTCTTTCTTTCTTTCTTTCTTTCTTTCTTTCTTTCTTTCTTTTCTTTTCTTTCTTTCTTTCCTCTCTCTCTCCCCTATTTCTTTCCTTCCTTTCTTTCTCTCTGTCTCTCTCTCTCTCTGTCTCCTGTTTCTCTTCTTTTCTTTCTTTCTCCCTGTTCTCCTCTCTCTCTCTCTCTTCTTTCTCTCTCTCTGTCTCCTGTTTCTCTTCTTTTTCTTTCTTTCTTTCTTTCTTTCTTTCTTTCTTTCTTTCTTTCTTTTTCTTTCTTCTCTTTTTTTCATGGGTTACATCCTTAAAAAAAACTTTGCCATTAAGTTCCATTTCCTTGCTACACTTTTTTTTTGTGAAAAAGGCATGGGGTCCTATGGGTCCCTATGCCGTTTTTTTTTTTATTTTTTAAAAAAAAGGAAGCTGGCAGGGAAATTCACTTACCAGAAATTTAAATTGGTATTTTTTTATTTGTGAATGAGTAAATGTCAACTTTGCTGTAGTACACTGTATACATTGTAGAGGTGTCATTTTACAGGCAGATTTAAGGCATGTTTTTTAAAGGAATTGTCCATTTTCAATGTTTCACTTTAAATCTTATTAAAATTACTGTTCCCCACAAAATGTTTTTTTAATTATATTTTTGCATTGGTACATGTCTTCCATAGCAGTGCCCAGCCTTCCATGCCATCCATGTGTTTGACAATCCCTTTCCAATTAGCCTTGAAAATAGCCAGAATGGATTTTAAGGGTTTGTCTCCAATTGACATCAGTGAGGTTTGGATTAATGCTTGAATGTTTGAGCTGTTCAGCGAACCTCCCTCAATACACACCCAGGTATGCTCGTCTCATCCCCACTCACCATGAATGGACAGCTGTTCCCTTACTGTATGTTACCTGAACATTGCGCAGCCTCATGCAGGCCATACATGGTTCGAATTCAGAACGATTTTTCATCCGAAAATCGGAAACGTCGTTCGCTCGGTAATGCGATGGCGCCATTGATGATTTTGCAAATTGGCCGACCGAGTCATAAAGTTCGCCCCATATAACATGCAAAACTTCTGTTCCTTCCAGGTCACGGCTCATGCGCCTATTCTTTTTGGAAAAACAATTGTACGATTTGACCATCATTGAGTCGAAAATCGGTCCTTTTTCACAAAAATTTTCCAACATGCCCGATCACCGAAAAGGGGAGGAACCATGAAAATCGGCCGGTGCCATTGACCCCCACTAACAGAGCGAAAATCGGCCGATTATTCTTAGGTCCGTCAATTTTTCGACCGATGTATGGCTGGCCTAAATCACAAAGCCTTTGGCAAATAATGGAGGTCCTTAAGGTCTTCTCAGAAGCCCGCCTCACCACCTGCCCCCTGAACCCTGTCCCCTCACAACTCCTTCGGTCACCCTCCTCTTCCGTCCTATGCTCCCTCACTCACATCTTCAATCTCTCCCTCTCCACCGGTACCTTCCCCTCCCCTTTAAAGCATGCACACATCACTCCCATACTTAAGAAGCCCTCCCTGAATCCCACCGACCTAAACAACCTAAGACCCATCTACCTGCTGCCATTTACCTCTAAACTACTAGAACGCTTAGTCTACAATCATCTGAGCTCCCACCTCACCTAGTATTCCCCCCAGCCCGTGCCCCCCTCCCCCCCGACTTCACCATAAATATCGCTAACACCATACTCAGTCCCTCCCCTCATGCCAGAGTACTTGGTGTCATCCTAGACTCCCATCTGTCCTTCCAGCCCCAGATCCAATCACTGACAAACTCAAGACTTCACCTCCGCAACATCTCCAACCTCCGCAACATCTCCAACAACAATCTCCAAGATACGCCTGTTCCTAACCCCGGAAACCACTAAGCAACTTATTCACTCCCTTGTCATATCACGCCTCGACTATTATAACTCCCTCCTCATTGGCCGACCTCCTCGTAGACTATCCCTCGTCCAGTCTATCATGAATGCTGCTGCCAGACTCATCCACCTCACTAACCGTTCTGTATTCACCTCTCCTCTCTGCCAATCCCTCCACTGACCTCCACTCAGTGTCCTTCATCCCTCTCTGCCAATCCCTCCACTGACCTCCACTCAGTGTCCTCCACCCCTCTCTGCCAATCCCTCCACTGACCTCCACTCAGTGTCCTCCCCCCCTCTCTGCCAATCCCTCCACTGACCTCCACTCAGTGTCCTTCATCCCTCTCTGCCAATCCCTCCACTGACCTCCACTCTGTGTCCTCTATCCCTCTCTGCCAATCCTTCCACTGGCCTCCACCCCTCTCTGCCAATCCCACCACTGACCTCTACTCAGTGTCCTCCATCCCTCTCTGCCAATCCTTCCACTGGCCTCCACCCCTCTCTGCCAATCCCTCCACTGATCTCCACTCAGTGTCCTCCATCCCTCTCTGCCAAATCCTTCCACTGGCCTCCACCACTCTCTGCCAATCCTTCCACTGGCTCCCAGTTGCCCAACGGATACAATTCAAAACTCTAACAATGACATATAAAGCCGTCCACAACTCCGCCCCAATTTACATAACCGATCTTATCTCTAAATATCACCCAAACCAGTACACTCCGCTCCTCGCAAGACCTCCTACTCTCTAGCTCCCTCATCTCTCCTCCCATGCTCGTCTCCAAGACTTCTCCAGGGTGTCACCCATCCTCTGGAACTCCCTACCCCAATATCTTTTAAATTATCACCTACTCTACTTGCCTTTCGGCGTTCACTGAAAACCTATGTCTTCAGGGAAGCCTATCCCGCCCTCAGCTACTTCTGGAATCCTGTACTCTTCCAACCACTCCATCCCCCACAGTGACTACCTACTGTACCACTCACCCCGCCCTCCTAGATTGTAAGCTCCCAGGATCAGGGCCCTCAAATCCCTCTTGTATTGGACTGTATTGTTACTGTATTGTCTCTCACTATAATGTAAAATGCTGAGCAAACTGTTGGCGCCATAAATCCTGTATAATATTAATAACAATAATGGACATTATGGAGAGGTTTACTAAAACTGGAGCACTCAGAATCTGGTGCAGCTGTGCACGGCAGCCAATCAGCTTCTAACTTCAGCTTGACAATAAGATATGGAAACTGATTGGTTGCTGTTCACAGCTGCACCAGATTTTGCACTTTCCAGTTTTAGTAAATCTCCCCCATGGGTATTTTACATCATTAGACTGTAATTTACTGTCCTGTCAGGTAGCCTTACATTGAGATAAGAGGATCACTGAGGAACAACCAGGAGACAGAGCATTTACATTTAATCATGAAATATGGCTGTCCTATGGCCATATATGCAAACAAGCTATAGACCGCAACAAGGGTTTTTAAAAAACCCAACATATATTGATAGGTGTGACGGGAGTCACTTTGGGTGGGGGGCCCATGGGAACCCAGCTCACTTTGGAGGGGTGGGGAGACCCCTGTCTCAGCTCCCCATATCCCTCCTATGTGTAAATCACCCTGTGCCTGTTAGGGGTACAGGGTGAAATGTCCTAATATTGTTTAGATATGTATAGTGTGTGTGGGGGGGGGGGGGGTTGTTCATTGTTTAATGCCATGTGGTTGTATCCCATTGTTCTATTGTGTGTCTTTCTGGGAGCAAACTATGTGTTTGTGTATTGGCTTGGTGGGGGGTGTTTCCGGCAGCCCTTCCCCCTGATGGGACGGCCTGCCGATGTGTTTCTTGTTACTGGGTGTGTATTGCCCCGCCCTGTGTATATATCTTGTATCTGTGTTCAAATAAAGTAGCCTATTTCCTGAGTTATTTCAAGAGTGGTGTCCGTGGTCGGTGTTCGGACGGGGAAGCGGGAATCTAACGGAAATACCCAAGTGCAGTTGGGTCCGGTTCTGTTACAATAGGATTATTCAACATGAAAAAACAAAAGTTACCAACTCAATGGAGCACAACAATTTCTAATTTTTTTTTTTCTTGTCTAGGTCTGAAAAGAGAAAATCGCTTTAATTAGATGCGGCAAATTTAAGGATGGAAAGTTTATTGTAATAATAAAACCGGGTAACAATTGGACCGTCCCATATTGTGCTGGAAAATCTCTCCTTTTCTGTTCTTGCTCCCCTATTTTTTAAAATTATGGAAAAAACCCATTCCATTCGAGGGGAAGGTTCTCCTTTGTCCAGAAGACGTGAACTGCTTGGAGTATAAATTTCATCTTTATGTTGTTCCCAGAAAACAGCCGGAAATAACGGTGAGCTTCAGATGGAAAACGAATCGTTATTTTCATTTTTGTTTTGAATAAGATGTGGAAGGATTAGAATCCCTGTCATTGAATACTCTTGGGGGATTCATTCTCTCTGTTAGTCCTGGTGACCATCGTCTTCAGGACAGGAAGTGATGGGAAAGCCAACATTCTTGAGTTGTCCCATGAAGAAGGAAAATCTGTAATATTATTATCACAACTAAGACAGCACATACACAAGTCATTTTCTTTCATTCCACCCGCTGGTTGAACAAAAGAAAATGACTTGATTGACTCATCAAAAATAAGGATATAATACTCATGCGCTGCCACAAATAAACGATCAACTGCTGCGAGCACCTAAATGTGTTCCCACATCAATAATACTCCCCAGAATAGTGCTGTGTTGCCCCCTAGTGACCCGAAAATACACTAATAATAAATAAACACCCTCCTGAGCATCAAAACCAATGTGTAACAGAAAAAAAATCTGTGAATATCTAGCCTAGATGAACATATACTTAATTCATCACCACTGGGGGGCAGATTGCTCAGTCGGGCATTTGTTTTACAATCATTTAATACTGTTTTAGTTGATTTTCACACTTTATGCTTCATGTTAGCCGGGGTGTTTATTACAGCTTGGCCAGGTGTTTACTGCTATTGTGATCATGTTTTATTTCTTGTATATGTTTCACATATTTTACTGTTTTTGTTGTTTTTTTACACTTTATTCTTCAGCTCAGCCGGGTGTTTATTATAGGTTGGCCAGGTGTTTATTGCTACTTGAGTTTGATTTATTTTTTTATATATGTTTCACATATCATTTGGATTTAGTGGCTCAGTCAGTTGTTGGTTTTTTTTTTTTTTGTATTTATTATTGACTTTGTTTCACAGATTTATTCTATTGCACATTGGGTTTGATGTTCAGGGAGGGTGTTTATTGTTTGTGTATTTTTTGGGTCACTAGGGAGTAGCGCAGCACTATTCTTGGGGAGTTTTATTAATTGCCTCATCCACACACTTGATGTGGATGAGGGAATTGATCCCGCCAAGCCTTTGTACTGTATTGTGACTGTGCCGCAGCACTGCTGATCAAGAGAAACAGTTCCAACAGGTTGGTTGTATACAGGTTGATTGGTTGACCTGTGTACAACCAGCCTGCTCATACTTGGATCGAAATTTGGCCAGTCCCTGCTTAACTGGACGAATTTCGATCCATGTCTGGTCGGCCTTAAAGTGGTTATGAAGCCAGAAGGTTTCACTAAATTTTACATCAGCATGTATCTCTGTTTAGCAAGGGGAAAGCTAACCAGGGAGAAATGTAGGTTGGGAAAAACGTAATGTCACTGGGAATGTTACCAAAAGGAATGCATCTGAGTAGTGATGGCTAAGGAAGGGACATATGGTAGTGGATAAAAGGTGAATGTTCTGGTGAGGGAGGCCTCTCGGTTGCGGTGGCTGAAGAGGGATGTATGTTATCAGGGGCAAATTATTTATTTGGGATAGATTCATCTCAGTGAAGGCAGATGGAGAGCAATTGATTTCAGAGAGGGGTGGGTGATGTGGCTAGGATGGGATATATGTCAGTAAGTGTTGTAATGGGGTACGTTTGCTATGGAGGGATGCACCTAAAAAGAGGTGGCTTGGAAGGAAAATATATTTTTTTTTCTTAGGGGGGGGGGGGGGGGGTTGAGGATGACTTGGCCAGGTTGGGATGTATGTCATTGGAGGTGACTGGGTAGGTAGGGATGTATGTAAGCAGGGGTAGTGACAGAGAAGAGATATATCAGGGGAAGTGGTGAAGTGGCTGAGGAGAGATATATGTCAGATGTCAATGGGGGTCAGAGGAGGTGGCTGGAGAGGCATTACAGCGGTGGACGATGGGGGAAGGTTGAGGTAGCTGTGGAGCAATGTTTGTCATTTTGAAGGTGGACAAGGTAGTTGGGGAAGGATTTATGTAAATGGAAAAAAACGGTCAAGTTGGCTGAAGTAGGATTTGTGTGAACACAAGGGGCAGGTGATCAGGGGGAGATATACAGTATGTCAATGGTTTACAAGGGTGATCTTATGAAAGATAATCTTCTATCTGACAAGCTGGCTGCTTTCTTCTTGGATTGATTCTTCATTTATATATAAGGACTATGAGCTGATTACCCTTTGGACACTTCAGGGTTTATTTACTAAAGCTGGAGAGTCCAAAATCAGACTCCCTTCTGCATAGAAACCAATCAGCTTCTAACCTCAGCTTGTTCAATGAAGCTTTGGCAATGAAACCTGGAAGCTGATTGGTTTCTATGCAGAAGGGAGTCTGATTTTGGACTCTTCAGCTTTAGTAAATAAACCCCTTGGAGTCTGAAGTCCCTTAATATTGCTTGGACTCTGAGCGCCACAATTTTTTTGTTGTTTTTGGTTTACGAGAGATGCATGTCAGTAGCAGGGGGTTCTTTATCTTCCTCATCCTCCTTTTCTTCTCCCTTGCCCTCCTCTTACTCATCCTCCTTCTCCATCTGTTTTTTCTAATCCTCTATCTGCTCTTCCCAGTCTTCTTGCCCTCCTCCTCCTCCAATCCTTCTCTTTCTAAACCTTTTCATACTTTTCCTCCTATTATTATACAGGATTTATGGCACCAACAGTTTGCTCAGCACTTTACAATATAAAGGGAGACAATACAGCAACAAGAAAGTTCAATACAAGAAGGTTAGGAGGGCCCTGATCCTAGGAGCTTACAATCTAAGAGGGAGGGGCTGGTGGTACAAAAGGTAATAACTGTGGAGGATGGACTGGTAGGAGGAGTAGAAGATTCTGTTATTAGCTGAAGGCGGGATAGGCTTCCCTGAAGAGATTGGTTTTCAGAGATCGCCTAAAGTGGGTAGAGTTGGTGATGGTCAGACAGGGGCGGACTGACGATTTGAGCACTCGGGCACTGCCCGAGGGCCTGGGGTTAGTAGGGGGCCCCATGAGATGCCCCTGGTACCTTTCATAGGCTTTTTGGGTGTAGTTTTAGTGTGGGCAAGGACACAGGGGCCCCATGATACCCTATTGCCCTGGGGCCCCATGAGTTGTCAGTCCGCCCCTGTGGTCAGATATATTGGGGTAGAGAATTCTAGAGGATGGGGGAAACTCTGGAGAAGT